TCTCTCTCTCTTCCTCTCTGTCTCCTGATCTCTCTCTATCTGTCTCTGTGTCTCTCTCTTACGCTCTCCTTCTCCCTCTCTTCCTTCTTTGTCCCTTCCCTCCAGTCTGTCGAGTTTCCCCCAATAAACTCTTTTCTTTACTCTGGTGTTTGGTGTGTTTTGTGGTGGCCTTACAGGTTCCCTTTCAGGGTCTCCAGCTTCCAGGATGTGATGTCATTGCTAAATAGTGTAACGGAGATGAAAAGATTTTCACAGAGGACTAGCTTCTAAGTGTGCTAAATTGGTTGTTATGTGTTTTAAAGACAGTTTACATGTTTTCTAAGGTTAAAAGGCTTTAAAAATTTTTTTCTTCTCTTACAGATGGTTAAAAAGGTTCTGAAAATATCGCCTTTTCCTGGGTTTATCAAGTGTGTTTTCAATTGCTGATTTTGAGTTGGAGAACCGGTTTGGCTGTCTAGGAATGTGTTAGCATCAGGGAGGAGGAGCAGTAAACATGGTGGATGCTTCACTTCCTGTCACAGAGGGTGGGACTTCCGTTCCAAAATGGCAATCCCCCTATGGAAATTTCCGCCCTTATAAAAGATGGGCAGTTTGCTGTGAGTCTAATTGGAGAAACAAACTGACCATTTCTTCTAATCCATTCTCTTGTTCTACACTTTCAGGAACCTATAAGACAAGTAAGTTTGTTATTTGAAAATATCCTGTAAATATTGAACACTATTGTCAGTTTTTCTAATTTTATTTTGGTCTAAGATGTTTCCAATTGTAAATCAGGACTTTTGATGGGTTTTGTTCCTGCCAGGTAACTGAATGCCAATCTGATTGTCAAATTTTCTTTCCTTCAGAATTGTACTTAAGCACCCTACTACCACCAGCCCCTTTGGGGTTTTTTCCTCTCTTGGAGCCCTCCTCCATGCCACTGTGACTGGAGGTCTTTGACTCTAAGAAATCCTTTTTAAATCTAAAAACCAAGGGGCCAGCGCTGTGGTGCAGTGGGTTAACGCCCTAGCCTGAGGCGTCGGCATCCCATGTGGGCGCTGGTTCTAGTCCCAGCGGCACCTCTTTTAATGCAGGTCTCTGCTGTGGCCTGGGATGGCAGCGGGGGATGGCCCGAGTCCTTGGGGCCCTGCACCCGCATCAGAGACCCAGAAGAAGCTCCTGGCTCCTGGCTTCGGGTCAGCGCAGCTCCAGCCTTTGCGGCCAACTGGGGAGTGAACCATCAGTTGGAGGACCTCTCTCTCTCTCTCTCTCTCTTGCCTCTCCTTCTCTCTCTGTGTAACTCTGACTTTCAAATAAATAAATAAATAAATAAATCTTAAAAAAAAAAAACTAAAAGCCAAAAAAAAAAGCAAGCAGGCTTCCCAGCAGCAGCACTGAGTGAAACAAAGGCCCGTCCTCCAGAAGTGCTTCCGTCTTAGAATTCTAGACCCGGCCAAACCCGCAAACACGTGAGCATAGAACTTCAGACAGGCAAGATCAGCAACTCAGCCTTGCACTCATATGTTCTTAGGAAATTGTTCGAAGAGGTGCATCCAGGGAATGAGGGTGCAAATCAAGACGGGAGAAAGTAAGCAACTTAAGAAACAGCAAGTCTCGCAGGATAGACACAGAGAGGACCCGGCCACCGTCCAGGGCTCTGGGGCGGCCAGTTCTGAACGTCAGAGCAGGGTTCTGAGAAAAGCAGCCCAGACTGGCAGCCTGGGAGGTAGGACGGGTGGTCACAGCAGGGCCGCGGGACAACCTCACCTGGCAGGAAGGACACACAAGGGGAGGAAAAGCCACTGGGAACTCCAGGGAGCAGAGTCTGCTCAGCCGTGCCCTGGGCGTCAGCATCTGCAGGCTAGCCAGGCTCAGTCAGCAGGAGGACAAGGGCTCAGGGGCCTTGAAGTGCCCTTGCCTCTGTACTGCAGAGCGGGCTGTTGGGGGCACAAGAAGCCAGGGTGGATTCGTCACTTATAGTGAAGGAGCCAGCGAAGGAAGCAGCCAGCAATGGTTCTGTTCCGGGGAGAGAAGGGGTACTCAGTCCAGAGCGCACAGAGTAGACTGACCGGGAGACAGGGGCGGGGGCTCGCAGCAGGATGGAGGCCCATGGGAGGTGTGCCTGGGGCAGCCAGGACACACCAGCAGGGATCCCGGCTGGTGACACACGTGCGGCCTGGAGGGGCGCCAACGGGGGAGGCTGTGCGTGTGCCTGGGTGGGAGCAGCACTTTCTGTGCACCCAAGGTTCTGTGAACCTGAACTGCTCCAGAGGAGTAGGTCTTTGACAGAGTGACTTGCAATTGCTCTCCTGGGGGCCCACCACCTAGC